AATCTGGAGACAAAATGTAGATTTTTCAGGTGTCTTAAGTGTTCAGTAGAAGTGTTGAAGTTGCCCGGTTATATAGGCCCGGTTATATAGGCACACGGAAGCACTTTTCGAGTTCAAATAAATTCGAGGTTTCCCTCAGGAAACTTGCTTCGCCCGGCGGTTGTGGCGCTGGGCGGTCATTCATCCAGCGACTCGCTGTGTTTTGGAGTTTAAAAATGTTTAAGCCTGGTGGGGACGCAAGTGAAGCCTGGTGGTCTGCCAGGCTTATAGTAACCTGGGATAAACCTTGACATTATTTAATTTTACATTTAGTAAATATGATCAGTCAAGTTGAACTTCCCCAAACCAAAGTTTAATGATGGTGGGAAACATTGTTAATCAAATGGAAACAGAAAGATATGTGTTTCAAGATCATAATTGATGTGTTCAGAAACACATTAGGCTTAATACAATATTAAAAATGCAAAAAAAAAAAAAAAAGTTAAGTGTCAAGTTTTCTATTGAAAAACATGCATTAAACATCAGATGTTTGAGAGAACAGATTGCATTGTTGATTTCTGGTAAGTTCTGTCTTGGACTCCAAGAAACTGAAAGTGTTGGCCTGTTCTGCTCAGATCCACTCTGACTGCTTTAGCTGAGGTCAGCAGCTCTATCTCTGGCCTGTTCTCAGCTCAGAAGGTTGAACTAGCTTTCAGTCACTTGTCCAGGCCTCCTGGGATGCTTGAGCGAGAATCTGCCCACACCACGTGAACTTAGCACTTGTCAAAGCCCCGCTTATGTAAGCTTGTGGGCTCCAGTCTGCCAGGAGCAGCAGGTAAGAGCCTTAACGGTTAATTGTGGCCGGTGATCTCACGGAGTCAGAAATAGAGGAGATCTTAGGGTGACTGGCTGATGGGATGTTCGATGCAGGCCTGAGTTCTCACCCCGTCATCTTGTTTTAAAATAAACAAAGATAATCAGCCAATGGGAATGTCGTCGCTGCAGACACTCGGTTGAAACATGATAATTGGGCACACAATTGTTTTTGTCTGTTTCAGCTCACCAAAGTGAAAAACACTTTCACAAACAAAATATTGGATTAAATACACTTATTAGATAGTATTTTGGTTGGAAATCTTAATTACTTTAATTTCCGCACATCAGAATGTTGTTGTAAAGGGATTTGCAGGAGTTGCATGCAAACAGAACATAGAAAGATGAGTGGGTTGTGCAGATTTTTAGCCTGTTGAAAACTGGAAAATCCAATCTTTTACCTGTCAGTAAAAGCACCATAAGTGAAACTTAATCTTCATTATGGAAACTATTTCTGAATTAAGAAGAGGTAGTTTTTTTTTTTGTTTTTTTTTTACCATTTATCTGTGGAAAAAACAGTTTTAACAGAAATACCAAACCCTTTCATTGCAGATAGGATTATAAAGGAAGTCAGAAACACTGAGGAGAAAAAAGCAAATTAAAACAGAAACATAAAAAAAAAAAATACATGGTGAGATGTTTCTGACTGAAAGAGCAAGGGAGAGCAAGACTTATTGCAGAAAACATTTTCTTGATTTTATCTTTTAAGTTTGGAGTCTGTCTTTTTTGGATCCTGCTAAAAGTAGGAATGATGGCAAACTTTTAGAAATCTCAGTTAAGGAAACAATGTATTTTCTTTGGGAAATTCATATAATGCTAGAAATGTAGTCATACTAGTCATGCTAATTGCTAGTGTAAAACTTTATTTATTCTTTCATGTGCCTATATAACCTGCGTTCATTTATTCCTGTCTTATCTCATTAAATGGACTCCTTATGGTTGGAAAGCGGTATTCATGTTCATTGCTGTTCTTATCTTGCAGTTCTTGCAAATCCTAACGTCAGAAGGTCAAAAGCTTTGATCAATTAATCTCTAATGGAGATCCAAGAACATTTGAAACTCCTCATTTGGTCATTGGGTAGTCTGGTAGTTTATTTATTCTTGCCAGAAATGTGAAGTTAAACCAAAATTATTTACTAGTATAAAGAAAATATAGATTTGCATAATTGTTGTTTATCTTAAAACATCTCTCAAGAAGGATATCATTGAAATTGCTTCAGTTTCCAGTTTCTTGTCTTGTTTTTCAAAGATGTGTACAAAGATGACGAGAAAAACTGAAAGCAGTTTCTTTTTTTGTCTTGTGTATAATTGCAATCCTATTTGGAAAGCATCTACATTAACTACTCTAATCAGGCTGAGGTTGAAAGCATTTCTTTATCTTGCCAAAAGTGCTCTTTCTCTCTCTAGTAAGGGGTTGAAATGAAAGATTTTCACATTACAGAACTGTTATTGAATTTTTCTAGTTGCTGAATTGTTGGTAAAGCAAATATTGACCTTAAAAACACATCCCATTAGCTAATTTTGTAGCTCTTGCTGTTTTGACAAAACTCTCAGGAGTGGTACTAATTAACCTTATCAGTCTTGTTTATAATAATAGCGGGCAAAACATTTTAGTCATCTTGTAAACAGTAGGACTGGATGGATGCTGCGTGTTTTCGATTAAAACTAAAAGCAAACAACTGAATAAGCTATTAGGCTTTCCAGGAAGCGTTATTAATTTCTAATGTGAGTCGAAAGCATTCTGTAAAGTTTTTATTTTTATTTTTATCTGACTGTGGTAACAAGAATGACTGCGCTGCTTGTTGTTTCTCCTTTGCCTCAGAAACCATCATTATGCACCACAATCTATGAAGCAATTAAAATGCAAATGTAATGGAAGTGGTGGTTCAGATGGAGAATAACTTGAAATGAAAAGTGCATGAATAAGAAACAAGCATAACACTGGTCCTAAATAAAATCCAACTTTGAGGCCTGTCGTGGAAATGCGTTGAGTCTGCTGTACGGTGGAGTGGTTGGCTGTTCTTGCAGGAAGGAGGTTCTGGGTTTGAATCCCAGTCCGACATCTTTCTATATGAAGTCTGTGTGTTTTCTTTGTGCTTTTAAAGGTTCTTCTGTCTTCCTCTCGCAGTCCAAAACTTTCCATACGAGTGTGTTCTTGCTTGGTTGGTTGTTCGGTTTCAGCCTGAAAAGTCATTATCAACGGAATATTAAGCAAATAAGTAGATTAGTTAAGTCAATACTTGTATTTAAAAACAGCAGAGAACAAAGAATAGCAAAAGCATTTATTTATTAGCATAATAAATTCCAAAGTGTCATCTAAAACCATACCAAGATTTCTATTAAAACGAATAGCAGTAATCACAGATTAAAAGATTTGTCTCCCCATTCATGTTTTTACACATCTCTCTTGCTGTGGTACAGAGATTTATGCATAGATATTATCATCATAGCGGAAACAAATCAAAGTATATGTTTCAGCTGCTTTGTGAAAAAAATGGCTCAATAGAAGTAGGCTTCAATGAGAATGAGATTGAACCCAAGATGGAGCCTTGAGGTACCCCTCAATAGACGTAGAACTAACTGGCTTGTTGTTTAATGCTGTCACACCAGCGTCTTGGTTGTGAATATTTTATCGCACTTCCATTAACAAGAGCTCGTTTAAGATGTTATAGCACAAAACGAAATAAAATTCAACAAATGAGTAGTTTTTACTGTTTTTATGGGGCAAAAACATTGTAACCATAGCAACTAATGCTGAATAAATTATTGTGTCCATGGTTACAACTTTATATACCACATTTCTTTACTCGTTAGCGCTCCCTGCTGTACTATTTACTGCATTGCTCTCCTAAATGTTACTAGTAATTCTCAGTGTACTTTGATTGGAACGTTTGCAGAACAGAGTTACTTTAAAAAAACACAAAAAAACACAGCATGTGTGGCCAGATGTATTTTCCAACGATGATTAGGATGTGATTTAAAATGCTAAAAATATTCATCAGTGTCTCACAGGCACAACACTAATACGAGTTTGATAAAAACATTAATAGTAATTAATAGTTCATTAATAGTAGTTTTCCAAAGCCCTACAATGAAGCCTAATGTAAATTAAATCAGTTTCTTCCTTCTTTTTGAGTCTGTACTTTTTTAACAAAGGCACTACTTTGACATTTGTTACTTTTTTAAAGAAAGAAAACCATCAACTGAAGTCTCTAATGTGAAGTGCTTAGAATAAGTTATTCTTAGTTTTAACCTGCTATTGCTGCTTTTAGCTGCCATAATCTTTAGCTTTACAGAAGACGTTTTTTTCTTATTTTCTTCCTGTAAAAGATCTTGTTTCCAAAAAAATAGTTTACGATCTTTCACTGAACCTGTCAGTTCCTTGAATCTGTCATAAATTTTACAGCTCAACAAATATTAGCAAGGCTGAAAAGCTGCTTCGACAACGAGCCTCAAAGTTCTTGCAGGAAATGTGAGTTGCATCTGCAGAGATGCTTGCAGAGGCGCATTATCAGGCGCGTGGTTATCAACAGGTGTGGTTGGTGCATCTACATGGGTTCTGCTCCCTGCAAGCATTCGGTGGTCTCCGTTTCTCCTTTATCTTGCGTATTGTTCATTTCTGTTGTGATATGCTTTTGCATTTTGGAATTACATATAAAGGAGGATATTATAATGCTTATTTTGTCTTCATTTTCTAATTATTCAGCTTGGCAAAAAGGCTGGTAAAAGGTTTAGAAACCTTTTAGAGTACGAGTGCAACGTGTTTTCTTAATTTTTTTTATACTGCGGATAATTATCCTGCCTGTTAATATAGTTGAAACAATTAAAGTGGTGAGAATCAGAAACAAATGAATTTTAAAAGCTTTTTCTCGCCTTGTTGAAGTTGCTCACACTGTTGTGCTTCAGTTTTGGAAATCCGATTGTGAATCTCCTTCCCTCAGTAACAACTTCCTCTCTGATGGTGTTGACCATTAGCATTTAGGCAGGGCGTGTTCACTTAATTTTTATTTAAATTTATATATATATATTTATATATATGCTTTAATATTTTTGTGTGAACATTTACAATTGTTTTCATTTCTGTCTCTATTTTTTCCGCTCGCTCTCGTTTTCATGCGATTATTAACATTCTCTTGTGTCTTGTCCAGCAGTCCAAAGCGCCGCTGCCCCTCACCTCCAGAAGCTCCTCCAAAACAAGCAGCCATGGGCAAACAGAACAGCAAACTCCGCCCGGACGTCATGCAGGACCTGATGGAGAACACGGACTTCACCGAGCACGAGATCACCGAGTGGTACAAGGGCTTCCTGCGGGACTGCCCCAGCGGCGCCCTCAACATGGAGGAGTTCAAGAAGATCTACGCCAACTTCTTCCCGTACGGAGACGCCTCAAAGTTCGCCGAGCACGTCTTCCGCACGTTCGACGCCAACGCCGACGGGACTATAGACTTCAGGGAGTTCATCATCGCCCTGAGCGTCACGTCCCGCGGCCGGCTGGACCAGAAGCTGAAGTGGGCGTTCAGCATGTACGACCTGGACGGGAACGGATACATCAGCAAGGCGGAGATGTTGGAGATTGTAACGGTAAGATTTTTTTGTCAGGCGTTTTTGTTCGTCTTTAAATGCTGCTACATTTTGCTTCCTCGCCTCAAGGCTCTTCGAAGTCAAAATGTCATTTGAATATTTGTGATGTAAAGCTAGGAAAAAAAAGTTAAGCTCTTTGAATATTGGAGATATTCCAAACTGAAAAGTTTGCATTAACTTTTGAGTAATTTTAAATGTTTGGTCCTGTGGCCTCCAACATGCAGCTCCGGAACCACAAGTGGCTTTTTGGACCTTAAACAATAACTATGGATGAAAAATATAAAGTACAAAATGATGATTACAATATTGATATAACAATATTGTAATATTGTTCTTTTTTGTTTTTTTTTTAACACTTTTTCATTTTGTTCCTGCAACGTTTGCTTTGAATTTCTACAAAGAATTTTGACAAAAAGGTCCAATAAATTGCTTCTATATGTTTTTCTTGTCATTACCTCCTGGATTTTCTAAATTGCACACAATTTTCCATCTGACAGAAGAAAAAAAAATGCATCCTCTGTTTTTGTTTTAATCCTAAACGTACTGGTAAAATGATGGTTCTTTTCAAAATTACTACAAATCTCCTAAAATAGATATTTACGTACATTTATGAATAGTCTTTTTTTCAAAAATATGCATCTGATTATATTTAAATTCCCTGGAAAAGGCAGTCCGTTTGTATTTACATTTTGTTTTTTCCAACTTTCCATTTGAATTTTGCAACCCTACTGAAATATTCATCATCATCTCTTCTGTTCTGTGTCATAGTGGCAAATATCAATTCCTTTCTGGTTCTCAGATTTCTCTGAATTAGACTCACCTGGAGGAGAGTTGATTTCACTGTGCGCTCTTCACATGCAGCTAAATCAAGTTCTGTGTTTTAATGAGTGGGACACTTTAGATTCCTCACTGTGCGTCACACACACACACACACACACACACACACACACACACACACACACACACACACACACACACACACACACACACACACACACACACACACACACAATCCTCTACACATGTTGTTTCATCACACAACGTAGAGCTACATCAAGCAGACTGCGTAATTCCGTTTTCCAAGTTAGTTTTCTTTATTTCTAGTTGATGTCTGAAGTGAAAATGTGTTTGTTTTTTTTAAATCTCCACAACACTTCAGCAAGATTTAATAAGCATTTAGAATAAGACAGAAATAGTTTTTACAGCGATGCCAAACAAAACTGGAAAGATTAAATAAAACTGTTTACAATGCCATATAGAAATCTTCATACCTCTTGATTTTTTTGGTTCTTTTTAAAAAAACTATGCTATTTTTGTTTTTTTGTCCCTCTGTGTCTGTACTTTGTCACAGCTCCAAATGTTTGCATATCATCAATCAGAATACGAATCTCCCTTATTGTCCACGATTCTCTGCATTATTTAAAGTGAAAATGACCAGGAGGTATTTTTCCAGTTGTTAATGGGTAAAATATCTCAAAATAAGTCAGATTGGGTAAAGAATCTCTGAAAACATCAAAATCAATACTTATTGATGTTTTTTTTTTTCAGGCCATTTACAAGATGGTCTCCTCTGTGATGAAAATGCCAGAAGACGAATCCACACCCGAGAAGCGCACTGACAAAATCTTCAGGCAGATGGACACAAATCGAGACGGTAAGGCTGCTCAGAGTCCTCAACTCTAACTTGAGCATTCTTGAGACAAAACCTGTTTTGAATGACATGAAATGTTCTTTGTTTCAGGTAAACTGTCCCTGGAGGAGTTTGTGGAGGGAGCAAAGAACGACCCGTCCATCGTGCGACTGCTGCAGTGTGACCCCAGCAGTGCTGGGCAGTAGGAAACTGGACTGATACATTAGCACATTTTCAAAATGGCTCCCATTTGACCCACCTGAGACTTTTGAAATGTAATACTTTGACCTATAGAGAGGCGCATGAACACACAGACGCATGCTGTGCCGAAGCACAATATATACGTCTGTAAATAGTCTTTCACACACTGTTCACGGGCCTCTGTGTTCGGTCAAAGGTTCTGCACAAACGCGGGTCTGATCTGCGGTACAGATTTGACTTGAAGGACTGAAATGACCATCAAAGACTCGTTGAAATGGAGAAGGTTTTCCCTGCGCTGCGAGATCACAGTCGGCAGGGACGACGCAGCTCATCCAGGAGGTACGCTGAAGCAAATTCAAGTGCGTTTTTACCCGTTTATTTTTTTATTTTATTTTTAAAAGCAGGATTTCCTATTTAAAGAGAACGACGTTGGTTTTATCCGTGTGACTTGACCCGGTTTGCCGAGTGGCGACGCACAGATCTTTACCAAGTATTGCGATGCAGCTCACTGTCAACACTGGGGGAAATGAAGCATGTCGGTCTGGGGCTACAGAGCAGTCATTCAGTCACAAGATCTGGGAATCATTGTTTTAAATGTTGAATATGATTTTTATGTACTGTATTATTTTTTTTTTGAAAGATTTTTTATTTGATTTTTTTTTGATTGATTCTGCGTGACGCGCTGAGTGTACCTGCATGGTCTCTGGAGAGCGACTACGTTACGCATAAACCGAGCTGCGATTGTTTCTCTGCAACCGCAGTGTAAGTGTGAAAGGAGAAAAAAAAATAAGATATATGGATATATAGTATGTTCTCATTTTATTCTGACGTTAACGTTGCAGCGTTTTGCTGCAGCGCAAGATTACACTTTCAATTTTATGCTTAAAATACTGGAATGTGACAGATATTTTAACTTCTTTTACTTGACAAATATGTTAAGAAACTTGTACAGTGTATTCACGCATATTTATGCTAGACATGTTTTGAGCAAAAGGAGAGAACCAGGTGTTTTTGCACGTTTGGCTTTGTCACAATTAGTTTTAAGGAAATTAATTTCCCCTCACAAGGAAAGAAATGTTGAATTGAATTAAATTTTCTGTGCAAGAAAGCTACAAAAAAAGAGCGAAAATCTTCTGTACGAGTGATGATGTTCACGTTCAGATTTTGTCTGAGTAAAATGCCAGCAGTCGTATTTTTAACTTTTCCACAGAGTGAAAACTGATTGCAAGAGCAGATCTCACTGTGAACATTTCACTTCTTCCATCAGGATTCTTTCACTGCCCTGCTGATATGAGAAACTGCTGTATTCGCATGTTGAAATGTAACTATTGGGTGAAGATTAAAAAAGAAAAATTCAACTGTAATAACGTTTGTAGTTCTGCTCCTTTCATCAAGAAAATCAGGTACTTCCACCTCTATTTCATTTCAATTGCATCCTGTGGTCAAGTGCCAAATATAGCAGAATTAAATGAAAGAAGAAAAAGCACAGTATTGTATCCATTTATTCTGTACGGTTCAATTGTTGAACAAAAAGGAGAAAAAAAAAGTGTATAATTTTCTAGATTTTGTATGGGTGATTTGCGTCATGTATTCTGTGTAGGATGTCCATTTTGTTCAAATAAAAGGAAAACTGAGGAGTAAGGATTTATTTTGCAGCTCTTTTTGTAATACAAATGTATAAAACTGGATTTTTTTTGTTTGGTAAAAATATAAAAACAGTTTCAGCATTTTACGCCGAGGCTTGAAACTTTTTTTATTGCACTGAAATGTTTTCACAGTATCAGGTTTTAATGTCAAAGATAATCAGTTTGTAAAATATCTAGTTTTTGAATTGTTTAATTTTAGGAAATAAAAGTTACTGGACTTACCTGACCTCATGTGAGGCGTCACAGGACCCTAGAGCTACCGTCAAGTTTTTAATGACATTTTTTAAAAATAATAATTAGTAAATTCAGACCCAGACAAACTTTTAAAAAATCTGATTAATAACAGCAAGCATTATTTAAAAACAAAAAGTAATTTATATTTTTTCACACCACTATATGAGTAGAAATTATTTTTATTTCTTGCTATTGCCTATTTGAAAAATGACATTTCTGGGTTTTTTTTATTATATTCTCAAAACAGCTGTACTTATATTACATCTCCATTTACAAATGAAATATTTCATTCGTATGTTTTAAAAACCATACAGAATAAAATTCAGCTTTTACCACGTGGCTGAAAGACGAGAGCATCAAACCGTTCTAAAATTCATTTACTTTGATTTTGAAGAAATTTACTTGAAATTCTTGGATCATATCTGTATAGAAATACAAAAAATAATAATAAATAATGACACTTCTAGCAAAAACAAAGGTTGGCATGCAGAAAAAAAAAAGCTGCTAAGTCGTACTTGGAATCAACTAAGTAAATTAAAGCTGCGGCTACATACACACACACACACACACCAGACATATTTAAGTGGCTACTTCTGATGTGACATTTGGCAACGACGCGTCTGTACAAAATTATTTTATACAAAGAGTTTATACAGTAAAAATATTCAGCAAAACCAAAGTTTGTGGGAGTGGAGTCCAGCGTTTCTTCTATCAATTCACAAGAACGTGTTTTTTTTTTTTTGTCATCCTGCATAGGAAATAGAAAATGCTTCATAGAGGTAAGTGTAGTGTGAGAATCAGGGGATTCAGAGGTTTGAAGTAAAGTCCATCGACTCATCAGACGTTTCTCCTGCAGGCGCCGAGGGCCGACCGTCAGATCTCCGTCAGGATGACCTTGAAGGCGTCGGCGCTGCTCTCGATGCTGAGGATGAAAGTGTCTTCGTTGGAGTAGTGCTCGACGATGTTGTCGTCCATGTTCACCAGGATTCTGCCCCCAAAAACATGAATAATAGAAAATATTCAATACTGAATCCAAAATTTAGATCTTAAGTTTTTCTTTTTTGTAGATAATTTATGAACTTTTTCAACGAATATTAGATAATAAAAGTATCTGCAAGACCCAGAACGTTATAATTTCTTTCATTACAGAAATTGAAATCCATCCCACTTATGGAGGACAGATCCTGCCAAACTTGTCAGTAAATTTAGAAATAAAAAAATGGCTTGATAAAGTAATAAATGTACCAAATACTGTACTCAATACCTTCAACTCATTTTGATTCGATTTCACATTATAACATAAATTAATGTTCCATTTTATTTTATGTCTCAGTGTTTTATTTGTTTCCTTTAGATTTAAATATTTTTTTCTACCTTCCCCCCCATATTTTGTACTTATTTTGTATATTTTATTTACTTTATCATACTTTGATATATTACCTCCTGTAATATTTAATTCTCTCCTTTATCCATTTATTCACAAACGTTATTATTTTCCCCTTGTTTTCTTTGGGGGTTTTTTTATTATGCAACAATTTATTTATTTCTACATTTATTGTCAATTTTGGCAGGATCCATCTTTTGTGCAATAATAAAGATTTTATTGTGAAGGGATAACTGTTTCAAACCTAATAGGAGTTTTCTCAAAATCATAAGTCAAAACACAACCAAAATTGTGACCTTTGGTCGTGTTTGATTATTAATTTAAGCCTAAATCTGAACATTTCTGGACCTGAAACAGTTCTGCTTTAGTACCAACTCACCCTTTTTTACTTTTCTTGTACACTTTGGCTATCCTCTCTGTGGGCACGCCATACTTCTCTGATATCTGTTGAGGAAAAACATAGAGGAGCGCGTGAAGACCAAATAATATTCTGTGTTTGACGCCTGCGGACAGAAAGGCGGCGCTCACAGCGTCCATCAGTCCTCTGAGGGTCGGAGACTTCAGCATCAGAGCGTCGAACACTTCGTCCGTCTCCTTCCTGACGTACAGCAGCACTGCAAAGCCGAGACAGCAGGAAGCTGATACAACCTGACTGGTCATGCCACAGTTTCACAATTCTCTCTCGTTTTTCACGAAGCCTCAAGGATCTCAACGTTTCCTCACTTGCACAATAAGAAGACCGGAATCACAAATAACCTCAGGCGGTTATTTTGGCATTTTCCACACGTAATTATGAAATATGACCCAGACCAGCATTCTTCTGGAACAAGCTGTGCTTTTTAGACAAGGATGAACATCGAGTGCCAAGTTTTATTCCCATGGAGCTCTGGGGATAAAAAAGGACGTGTGCAGTTCAGGGACAGCTGCTTCGTTCCTCGTGGGAGAACGCCGCTGCTGCCAATTGTGCCGACTCAAAACAAAAGTGTTTGCTATTCCTTAAGTCCAAGCAAACAACACTGGATTTAGCTAAATAATTTGATATCGCTTGCCAGATGTGACTGAAAGCAAACCACCTATTGCTTTTACCCTTAATTGGTTAAAATAATTAAGGGATAAAACAAACCCAATACAGATTAAAACAGCATTTTTTCTTTTTCACGTCAGTTCGACGTGGGCTGTGTTACCTCGTTTGTGCGTCTCCTCCCGGCTCTGTTTGTGCGGTGACGGACACAGGTCTTCATCAGACGGCCTGAACATCCTCTTCACCAACACGCTCCTCAAAACAACAACAACAACAAGAAGAAATCATAATCCCGAGATGTTCTATGCGGCGCGGCTTCCTGTTTTCCACTCACCCTTCTCTGTCGATCTCTTCTGCGTTGAACGTAAACACCTAGGCACAAATTAAGAGTTAGAGGTGAAACTCAAAGCGCTACGCAAAATGCTTTAATATTTAATATAGAATCAGGACAATAAAACTGTTTTTACCAAACATAAAACTACGGATCGTCTTTTTTCACGTTGTTGCATCGCAAGCTTAAACTCTGATGCATTTTGTTGGAATTTAATGTGACAGATTAACACAAAGACAGAATTTTGAATAGAAATAAAAGCAGGAGACAGTTTCTAGAAACAGATCTCATATATATTTTTTATTTAGAAATTTATTTTCTACTTTTTTCTAGGATCTGGAATGATGGAGGCCTCATTTCGCCTCCAACTCAAAATGTGGCACACTGACATTTTCCACATCTATAATGGATTATTCTACAAGTACTGATCCTTTCAATTTTACCACTTTTATTCTGTTTGTAAAGATTCTGTTTTGTTGGGCATTTATCCAGTTTAATGGAGTCACTTTGAAACCCAAATATAAAGTTGCTTTGAGGACAAAAACGCAGTGAAACTGAATATTTCTGGTATCAAATCACTGCAGGTTCTTTAAACACAAAAAGGATCAAATGTTGAAATCAATCATTCGATTTGACAAAACCAAGACGAAAGATGTTATTCAAACATAAAACAACTCAAAAATGTCTGCACATTCAGAAATGGAAACTTTTGCATTTTAGGAAATGGAACGAGGGAGAAAGTGTGGAAAATCCATCGTGTTTCCATGCGAACGTATCCAGATCTGCAATATGATTAAAGACATTTCTAGACTTTTCTAGATTGTATCCAAATGCTTGCTGCAGGAACATTTGAAGTACAGAAAAACAACTTTATAATTTCTTTGGCTTGTGGTTTCCCTGTCCTTCTCTTTGCACCTTCACAGTAGATGTAGCTCCTAGTTTTTGAAACATTTTAATATTACAAATCTGAAAAGTCAAATTTCGGCTCAGAGGTTTTGTTGAACAGGGCGCCTACCTGTCC